AGAGGCTGGGGAGTGTCCGGGGGCTGGGGGAGCAGCAGATGCCGCATCCAGAGGCTGGGGAGTGTCCGGGGGCTGGGGGAGCAGCAGGGGCTTGGAGTTGGCAGTTGCACCCACTTCTCCCCTCCCACACTTGCTCCTGGGTTTTGGGGATTCCCATCAGGGAAGTCAGCAAAGCAGAAATTCTGATTTGAGTGCTCAGGAGTGAGGCCCCAGCACTGCCTGTTGGCTTTTTTTCAGTCCCCAGGTGTTTCTCCTGTGCACAAGGGTTTAATACATCAACTGTCTACGGCATCTGTGTCTTAACTAGGCTCCAAGATGGAAGGAATGATGGTCTCGTGGAAGGATCTCTAGGTAGCTGGGATGCAAGGAGCAGCATACAGACTCAGCAGGGTCCCTTCCTCCCTGGGCACAAGGCCACCTGCCCACACTGTGCCTCCTTTCCAGCTCCCAAATGTAGCTTCAGGCTCCCCAGACAATGGTGCTAGACCACTTTGAAACTGTACAGAGGCACACACCTGAGGCATTATTTAGACCTAAGAAGAAAGGCCCATTACTTAAAATGAAGACGAAGTGACTCAACAAAGGCAGGCAATGGTCTAAAGAGAGAAAATCAACTCAAAGTCACACAGCAACATAGTTCAGGCTGCACGTTCACATCTGAGCTGATAGCCTACCCTAGGATGTCTGCTTTGACAGAGCTGGCTGTGTGATCTTTCCAGCATCCCCAGAAACTGCAGGGTCCTCATCTCTCAGAGCCTGCAGCCCTTATGCACGTGAGCCGGGTCTCCAAGGGGCTCCACCGGGCTCCACAGGGCTTGTTGTGCAGGCAAGTAGGCATGAGAATGGGAATCCCAGTCACCAAAGGGTTTCCTGCACCCTGCTTCACAGAGTAGCCCACGCCGGGAAGAAACGGGGCTGCAGCCACAGTCATGGGGCCTGTGGGCGGCTTGGGGGTGGCCCGGTGCCCGCTGCACGGCACTGCTGAGAAACGCTGCACAGTGGGCACCCAGCAGAGCTGGCTCCACGTGCCGGCACGGTCCCCTGAGGCCTTGTGTGTCTTGGCAGCTGCCTCCCAGCTGGCCTGCCCTCAGCACTGGTGCCATGAGGATGTGGTTGCAGGAGTCCAGAGAGCCCTGCAGCCACCCCAAAGCTCCTGGGCTTTGGCACGGAGAGGAGAGTGTTGCCTCAATCCACCTGCAGCCAGGCCACTGTCAGGGTGCTGTGCAGAGTGTGGCTGGGTTTCCTGGACTGTCCAGAGCCTGAGCCCTCCAGGAAGCTGGAGACTCACATCCCCAGGGCCCAGGGATGGGGAGGACCCTGGAGTTAGGGAAAGGGGGCTAAGGTACAGCGTCCCTCCCAAATCCAAAGAGCACTGGATGCAGTCACAAGAGAACTGGAGTGCAGAAGTACCACTGGCCAAAACCAGGACAATCCAGAAAGAAGTGGAGACTGGATGGCAGGATGGAAAGAGATTGCGTGGAATTACTATAAGGAAGAAAAATCAAACGGGAGAAGGACATGAAAGATTAGAGGCCAACCCCAGAGACTAGAAATAGAGGCAGCACCTGGAGACGCTAGGCAGGCGGGCTCCATAACTGCAGGGCCCGGCGGGTACAAATCTGGGGAAGGGAAGGGGAGATGAGGGGGACGCAGAAACTGCTGATGGGAC